CATTTCTTTAAATTATAAAGAAGATATTCATTCTTTCATTCTCTTTTTGGCATGGAAATTTAACGTCACATCGACAACCAGGTTGTAAAAATAGAGTGCCACAGGTATAATTATTAAGCAAACAATATCTTAATATTATGACGAGCAACATTTTGCTAAATTATGAACAAGATGGAAAAATACATATTTAATCCCAAAATCAAATAAAAAGACAGTTTGATAATATAAGATTAATTGATATTCTGCTCGACTTCAAAATTGCTGCCCTGTAAAAGACTTACCACGTTTCCTTGCCCCGTCGTCTTAAATTGCATACGAGTTACCAATCATGTTATTGCACATTGTTTTTCAAAAAATCAGATTAATCGAAAACATAGCGATTACGAAGAATAAAATCATCGCTACTTGATACGGTCATAATTTTATGATTAAGCGGATATTCTAGTCTAGAGGCATGAATTTTGGGCGGTTTTTGAAGCTCTGTACAAACGAAACAAAAAATATTTTTACTATCCATTTTTTAACATTTGTTTATTGATACTTTAAGAGTACATAAAAAATTAACTGAAAGAAACTCAAAATTCACAGTTATGAACTGCCAAAGTGGGGGTCCAAAAAAAGGGTGTCCTGGCGTGCATGATTTCAACCTTTCTGGTTATCTGAAGCAATAAAGCCGAATAGATTCTTAATTAGTATAGATGCGGCTATAGCATGAACCTTGAAAAAATCAAAAAAATATTTTTTCACAAAATGGCGGCCGTTTTAAGAAATTTTCCTTTTTGACATGTTTTTCGACGTGTTTTTTTGGCAATTCCGAATTTTTTAAAAATAGTAAAATTAAAAATTTTAATCTGAGCGTGGTTGAGGCGATAGAGGAATGTATAAAAAACATTCACACCAAATTTCAAATAAATCGGTTCATTAGAGAGATCGTGCACGCCAACTCGAAAAACGTAGTTTCAGAAAAATGCGTTTAAGGTTTTGAGACAAGTTTACTCGGACAAGGTCTACTGTCCATTTGTTCCGGTCGGACCGGAGCAGATACCGCGTCACAGAAATGGCTGTAACTCATAAAATAATTGAAATTTCGAAAAATCCTTTTAAGGACATATTCTTGAATGTCTAAACTTTGGAAATATGGAAAAAAAAATTTTCGATTTTTTCAAATTTGTAGACTAGAATACACCCTTAAAATATATCTTATTAAGAATAAATACTCGTGTCGCAATACTTTTGCACGACAGTATATGCATATCATATACGATCGTAAAAGGAACAATTGGAAAACTGCGATATTTCCTTGATATCGTGGCAATCGCTTGGAAAAAATTTTATTCGGCCGTAGAAGAGGATCCGAGCATTAAAGGGAACCGGATAATTTAACAAAAAGTTCTTGCTGCAAATATGCATCGGAATAAATGCATGACACATGTGCAAATATTACGTGCTACATTCCGAACGAATAATTCTCGTCAAAAATGTTTCCTTCGGAGACTGGCGCGCGACACGATCGATAAATGCATTGCGATTAAATATGCACGATGGAAGTTTATACGCTTCTTAATTATTAGCGGCAAACACGCGGTATAACTCGATACTTTTCAGTCGTTGATATCGGCTTTTTTCTTCGTTTAGTTCGGATCGTGTATCGTCCGCGAGATGGTTACGGCGCATTTTTTAATTTGTTCATTATTCCATATGTAAAATAAGGAAAACGAGTAGCCGCGCTGCAATAATGTAGAACTGGTGTGCGTGAAGTGCAAATCGAGGTAATCGAATCACGGTAGCAATAAATATCAGAGACAAGCTAAAAGCGTTTCAAACAAATATCAGCCGCACGAAACGCGCGATGTAGCACGTAATAATTCCTTCATTTCTCTATTAATAACCAATAAATCGATGTATAATTCCAATTATTTTTTATTAAACGAAACTAGCGAACGCTGTTACGTGCATGTATATTCCTCGTTAAAATTAAGAACGAGTTTTATACTTTGTATACTTACTGTTGCACCTTAAAGTAAGTTAACGCTCGCGCTAGAAGTTGAAATATCAGATCGACAACTTACTTGCTCGGCTATGTATTTGGGAAAGTTTATTTTCAAATATAAATACGATTGGTTGTTAAGCTACTGTTACTTCCGAGATTTTCACAACTTGCTATTACACATTATCCCGTCGTTCTTCATTTTCGTCTTATTTTCAACCTAACGTCACTTTCGTGCCATAAATTTGCGACCACGGTGTTTATATATACGTACAATATTAATATTAATTGTAGATCTGTCTTTGTAAGGTCTGGTAGTTTTACTACACCTGTGATCGTAAAATGAGCGGGCTGAAACTTTGTATCCACGTTCAAATGAGATTCGGAGAATTGAGAGTTTTGAAACTCGCCACAGTGGAACATAAAGCGATTAAATGGGATTAAACCGTAATGGAATATATTAATATAATTGTGTAATCCAAATGGACATGAAACTTTCCGTTTACGCATTGATGATCATCTGATCATCGCACGATGAATAGATATAACGATATCATGGTTACTATCGTTAATAATGAAATAATATTTATACTTCTAATAATACAAGGCGTGTAAGAGTGTGCGATTTTGCTGTTAGAAATACAAACTTCGAATGTGTTTGGGCAATTATTACTTTCTTTTTCTAAATTCAGTTGCTTATCTTACTCTTCGATATTAGAATTCATTCTACGCTTTTATAGTTGCTTAAAATACATGTGTAAATATGCTTTCGATTAAATGCATAGAGACTTTTATCGAGAAACATAACTGTGTATGTGTATATACAGTGGCTCGCGAAAATATTCGAACACCTTCAACCTTCAAAATAAAATAACTTTTTTAACATTGGACCAAAAGACTTGAATTTGTTTGAGAGACTTTTTTGAGCTAGAGGGATAATAGTCGACAAGATGGTAAAAATTTTTGAAAAGAATGCAGTTGATCGTTGAATGGCAAAGAAAAAAGTGAAGGTTACCTTTTACAACATTTTTATCTAGGCTTAAAATAGAAATTTATACAACGTGTTTTCAAGGATTATGTCACCTAGATACTATAATTTTATCGAAATCGCTCGATGTAGAAACAAGCAACAGGCGTCGAAAGATGAACAGAAACGTAGATTTATTACAATTCTAGATTGAAACTGCGATTTTCATCATTTTTATCACAGCTCGTAGTAACATTAACCGTTTTCGATAAAATATCCAGTATGCATATGGCTGACATAACTCTTCGAAATGAGTCGCTTAAATTCTTATGGCAGACCCACATAGAAAACTTGTGAAAATTGACCTTTCCTTTTCTTCGTCCAGATTCCAACCAATTGCAATTTTTCTAAAAACTTTTGACACATCATCTAGCCAACCGATCCTTCTAACCTAGTAAAAAAAGTTCAAGCCGATTGGTCCAATTTTAAAAAAGATACTCTGTTCAATAGACGTTTGAATACGAGAGCCACTATAAGTCCATATAAAGGGTGGTTGATAACTGGTGGTACAAGCGGAAAGGGAGTGATTCTACGCGAAAAAAAGAAGTCGAAAATATAGAATAAAAATTTTTCGTTGGAGGTTTTGTTTTCGAGAAAATCGACTTGGAATTTGCACTTTATCACGTTTTGTTATAACGGATCTCACTGTAGATCGTTGTCTCGATAGAAAAATTAAAAAAAATTTTTTTTTTTATTTTTATTCTATATTTTCGACTTCTTTTTTCGCGTAGAATCAGTGATTTCTATCCTATAAGATTATTGATAAGATTATTGACAGATGGATTTATTTACAATAGCCTAAACAGGAAACAACGGTTATTTAACGTAGACAAAATACAGTAATGTGCTATAACTAAGACAACTAGATGGATAATTCACAATTCACAACTCAATTCTCGGCTCCTCATAACTCGACTCCTCACAACTCGACTCTTAGTTAACGACTGCCGATTAATTCGTCTTTCTCCCTTAAGCATCTCTTCGTCTTTTCTCATACCCCCAACACGTACGTGTTCCATAAACGTCCGCGATCATCATCACGCAGACCTTCTTCCGCGTGACTATTCGACTGAAGGACCGAAGGAACCGAAGATTTGACTGATGGGCCCCGCATGGGCTATTGAAGTTTCCCGACCTTTTCGACCTGTCGGCACTTAGGCTTTCACGCAACATTGTTCATAGTTTACCCGATATTTCTTAGGCAATCTGTCCACGATACTACATATATATATGCAGATCAAAATGTTTCATATAATATGATTATATGAAAATATACGCATGATAGCTTTCATGGTAAATGTTCACGAACCGCTGTATGCATAATGTATTGGATTGGCAACTAAGTGATTGCGGATTTTGTCATTAAGTGGTATTGACAAAAGCCGCAATCACTTAGTTGCCAACCCAATAAGATTGATAGTCTGCGTTTGCGTAGGATTTAATTGACAACGTTACTTAAGATATGGCTAACGCTGAATGCGTGAATCTGTTAGCCGCGCTTACGCGTGTGTTGATGAACCTCTGCAATGATTTTCTCGTTTTAATAACGATATTGTACCACACGATGTTGGCCTTGAAGTCTAGATTTCGTAACTTGCAAGCCACGACACTACAGGTCAACCATAAATCAGCCCCGCCAAGTACATATATACCGAACCATCAGCCCATACAATAGAACTCTCTTCCTGCGATCAAATAGTATACTTGTTGCGCAAAGTCTCCAATTCTGCGCTTGCTTTCCTCTATCGTCCTTAAGAAAAAAAAAACTTGATGAATCGTTCTACTTTCGTGCCATACCAGTTACTTGACGAGACAGATTTCGTAGCGAACTCGACCTTGACTTTATCTGGGATAGATGATGATCCTGTCTCACGTGTCAATCTCTCGAAATTAAGGAAATTCGCTTAAACCACATACGATATCAATCGATTCCATCCGATACGTACATCAAAGGGTAACGTTAGTACAGGATTAGTCGAATTTGCTTGTCATTAACACTAGGTTTACGGGACCCGCCAATTTGACGGATTTCGAACTTCGAAATGAAATATCTCAAAAACCATAGCATTAATTTTAACCATTTTGCATCTTAAATTAATCATTTCATCTAAAGAATTTATGCACAAAATTATTTTTTTCTAGGCTTTCTAATTTTTGAAATCTGTATGTAGTATATCTATCTCTACGAGACCCGTAATTTAAAATTATTATACATAATTGTATAAATATTTTTGTGTCACTTTAATATTACTTTTCCAAAATGCGCGGTATTGTTTCTTTTTGAAATAAATCAAACCACAGGGAAGAAATTAATGTGCCATAACATTTGTATTATTGCATAAATGATAATTATGTATAATATTATTATATATAATTATATAAACATTTTAGTATCACTTTAGTGTTATTTTCTCAAAACGGACAGTACTGTTCCTTTTCGAAATAAATCAAACTACAGCGAAGAAATTAATGTACCATAGCATTTGTATGCTTTGTAGCTGCATTCTCGTCCAACTAGAAAAAGCAATGACGATGTTCGGTGTCTCCCGTGACACCTGTAAAAGTACGACGTGCACTCGATCTGGAAAAATCGAGGCAGCTAGAGACGTTTACAGAGGGCGGCAACTCTCTTGTTCACTTTTCCTGTTTCTGCTTGTCCTCGCGCTTTTCTCATTCGCCCCGAACTGAAGTTTCCATTTTCGCCGTTTTACCATTGCGTGGCATTATTCGGAGTGCATTGCATTATTCGGCAAAACGACCGTGCCCGTTTTCTCAAAAGGACCATGCTGAAAGTTTCGCGACTATTCCAAGCGATAACCATCGAATCTAGCGCCCAAGCACCATGTGTATTTATTTACCGAGTTTCTGTTTACCCGTGTCGCACTCTATGTACCACGATGTGCGCCGTAAATGTGTATATCCATGTTTCCATCCGGGGATATTCCATGCAAATACGACGCAGAAGGACTATTGACGCGTATATTTATACCCGTGGAATGATTTCGTTCTGACAAGTTCGAGAAAGTTGAGAATATCGTTGGAAAGTTGTATCTTCTGCAAGCTGTTAAAAACTCACGGAATTCTGAATCTTTCAACTTGCCGGGACTAACAGGACACGTGATACTTTACAGGCTAACTTTTAAAAAGATTATTACGCTATGGTGATCTTTCCAGCAGGAAGCGTACACTCCGGTTCATAAATATTATGACATTAGAATTAGGTAAATTAAATAAAGAAAGCTGATAAGACGCATTGTCAACACTTTGAAAAATTCTTGTTCGATTTAATCTTTCGATCGTGAATTTTTATGCAAATCGTACGGTTACAGACGCGAATACAGAATTTCAATATGAATATTTTATCCGGTGATGTCGCTTTTGACATTTTTACTTGTGTACTATTTTTTGTCAAACAGCCGAGAAATAACATTATTTATTTAACGAAAACATGGAAAAATTTCCAGCAAATACTTGTTTTGTGAGCACGATATTATATCCGTTGAGAAGAACTGGCAAAAATAAAGTTACGAGAATACAAGGTATCCAAGCTACAACTGTAGCTACGTATCGTCTTTCCGTTGCTGTTCAGAAAAATCCTCCGAATTTCACAAAATATCTCTTTCTTTCGCCCTGCCATTCATGCTACTCACATCGCATTCGCAACACATAAGAACTTCAATCAATCGTATCTTGTCATTCTTTCAAGTAGGGTAACAAATTCTATTATTTATCCTAGAATTAATATCATTAATATTAATAAGGAAACATTTTATCAAAAATTCAATTTATGTTGCTCGATCAATGCAAATGTTGTTTCTTCTGTGTCGACTATTTTAATTCAACCCAACATTACATTTAACCAGTTGACTGCGTATGCACGTCAATGCGGATGACAATACTCGTCGCGTAAAATAAAGAACTAGCATTTTCTATAAAAACTCAAAATTTTAGTCGAAAGTAATATAAATAACATTTAGTGGTATGTTACCTTTATACTTGCAGTAAAATTATTATGTTTTAATTTTATAAAAAAAAGTTTGATTATTTGATTATTCTCTTTGGTATATCGGTTATGCTCTGTATAATTTATTGCTTTTTATAAATGATTGATTATTTTCCACAATGCATCCCCATTTGTGTATTTTATTGCGTATATCGGCTATTCCCCAATTGCTTTCTCCGCTTTACTTTATTGTATTAAGTTTTCAATAATAATACCTTTTTTAATAATAAATTGTTAATTTTTTATCGAATAGAAATGTAATTCTTCCTCGTTTTGCTTCACTTTTTTCGCAAAATTTATAATAGGCGTTTTTAAAGCTAAATTCCACAGTTAACTGGTTAACAAAGCTTTTCTCACTTTCGACTGCGTCATTTTCACAATTTGAATGTTTCGTACCTGCTGTATTTAATGTATTCGTACATTTTTAAAATAGGAAATTGCACGACGAAAAGTTGGTAACTATTCTCAGATACATTTAACGTTACAGGTAATTTTCAAGTTGAACCAAATTGTAACTAAATGCACTTTTATTTATTACTAAATGAGCATGAAGCTTTTCATGACTAGTAGAATGTATCGTGGTTCACGGAAGTATTTGCACTTTTAGAAACCTTTTACGAATATGTTAAGTGTGTTACACAAGACATTTAAATATTCCTTTGCGTAACTTACCTATTGCTTACCAAGACATTGTATAACACATTTGAAAATACAAGAAATTGAATAATTCATTGTAGTATACTTACGTGTTTTGTGATTCTCTATCGGCAAACACTTTAATAAAGTAAAAAGTAATTGCAAAATGAACGTCGGTTTTATTTTAATAAATTAATTTCTTACAGATAACACCGTGAGTGCAAAAATGCTGTTGTGAAAAACAAATGTTGTTTCTGATCGTACAATGTCCTGCATGCCAATATATACTATGCAGGAATACTATGGTATAAAATTTGAAAACAATTTCCATTTATAAATAGTTATTTATAGCCCAACATTGTCTCCGTATAAAACAATGTAAATACCATTAAGCAATAGACACGCTCCACACTAAACATCAGCAAATTTTATAACAATTCTCACTCTCTTTACAAGAATATTATAAAATACACATTTGTAACAAAAATGAAAAGAACACCTTGAAAAAAAACATATTTTTTGTTTTTATATAAGCTACCTAGGTACAAACAGGATTGGTATTTACAGTACTTGCGAATTTAAATGAATGGCATATTCGGCTTTCACTACAACCAAGAGCTGATACATGCAAGCTTTTCTACAAACACAGTTCTCTTTCTGGTGAATCTCGACTATATTAATGCAACAAATAGGAAATTTTTACGATGCATTTGGATTATCGTACGCTCAAGATCTTATATAATAATCAAAACAAATCAAATCATATTTCGAAAATAATTTTTGGAGAAACTTTTTCTCTTTGCTAAAAAAATTCGATTTTTGGCGTTTACAGCGTTGCCTACAAGAAATCTTCGGTCGAAGAATGCGGATAGGAAACGCTGTAATTGGCAAGAAAAAACTTTTCAAAAGGAAGAGAAAACTTATGCATTAGTGTAGTTAAAATTCATTGAAAAGAAAAGTACATCTGTAGAAAGAGCCCGTAAGAAAACTCAATGCTCTGTGGATAGATGTGACAGACAAAAGTTAAAAAATAATTAACTGACGTTTATTGCTGCTTATATTTCCTTCTATGTCTTCTAGCATTGTTAATAATTCTTTAGAAAATGAAATTGCGCTTAGATTCTGTACTACGGTAGGCACATTGGCAAGCAAAACGTTTTTCTCATAGAAAGACAATATTTTTTCATTTTGCCACTTACTGTGTTTCTACAAGCACTCTTCGGTTATGCAGATGCGCATAATATCCGGTTTTACTGGAACACGGTATCGCACAAAGGTTCCCTTTACGTGATACGAGTACATAGTTATAGAGTAAATGTAATGATCGCGGGAAAGTTGCATACGTTTTGATAACAGTTTAACAAGTACTCGGTGAAATATAGTTGAATAGCTGCAGGCACGTTGTCATACAATTTACTAAGTAAGACCCTATATACGCGATGAATCACGTAAAACAAAGATGTTACTTCGCGTGTGTGTTCACGTACCTCGGTCACTGACAATCAGGTCTTGAACGAACGTTAGTCCGTTTTGTACGCCTGTACGTATTTCATATTTGAAGAATAAACGTCGATCGTATACGAATCGTTAAAAGCGCAATTAAAGAGCGCCGTTTCAAAGCGCCGTAAAACACGTAACAAAGCCTTCTTTTATCTCGTCATTTATGATCGTTTAATTTGAATTTAATTCACCTCGTTCGTTTATCAGAGCGAAATTATTTTGCCCCCTTTAACGCTTTGAGCCGGCTTTAATTTAACGAAGCGTTAGACTGACAGAAATTGTTCAAACATTTTGAAGTTTGCAAGCGACGGAATTCATACTACGGAATGCCAACTATGGCCAGTGTTATGAACAAATTATAGGTGCGCATGTACGGTATTTGGAATAGCTCAGCCAGCCAGCCTTACACTACCAACAATTCAGCATTGTTTCTCCATCGATCTTTCAACTTTCTCGCAAAAATCTAAAGCGTTAAACGAGTTAAATTGCGACCATATGTATGAAGCACGAACAACGGTAAGTTTGGTCTCCTTTTTGCTTCGGAAGTATTTAAGAATTTACCGAAAGTATGGCCAAACCTCAGGCTATCTCAGAATGTCTACTATTTCTAGCAAATTGCATTCATCGGTAAAATGTATTCATTTACGATTAAGATGTACACCCTCGCGCATAATTATTTGTAGATTCGCGGAAAATAGGGTAAATGAGATAATTATTTAAATATTATCAGGAAACTGTAAAAACTATTCTACACTATTCTCTCATTTGGTATTTTCGATTGAGATTATAAAATCTTATTGTTAGATAGAATCTGTCTCTAGTAGGTTTTCTTATTTTCAATCAATTGCTTCATTATACATATAGAATATTGTAATATTATTGTATATTGTATATTATATTATATATATAATATAATAAAATATTAAGTAATATATACAATATCTTATATATATTATAATATTTATAATTGCTTTGGTATATAAATAATTTTCATAATATAAAATTATATTAATTAAAAATCATATTAATCTAATTACGCAATTGGTATAATAGT